TGCCATACCGAGTCATTTATGAGATAAAAAGTCTGAATTTTGACATACTAAGTCATAATTATGAGGTGGAAAAGTTGAAATTATGACACTGTCATATTTATGAGATAAAAAGTTGAAATTATGACATGAAAAGCCATTATTATTAGATTAAAAGTCAAAATAATTAAATACTAAGTCACGATTATGAGATAAAAAATAAAAACAATGAAATACTAAGTCATAATTAGAAGATAGGTCAAAATTATGACAATTCATAATGAGTTAAAATGTCAAAATAATGATATACTAAATCACAATTATGAGATAAGTAAGCCATTGACATGCTGAGTCAATAATGAGATAAAAAGTCTGAATTATGACATATTAAGTCAATTTTGAGATGAAAAGTTGAAATTATGACAATAAGTCATAATTATGAGATAAAGTCTAAATTGTGACATATTAAGTCATAATTATGAGATGAAAAGTTTCAATTATCACATTAAGCCATAATTATGAGATAAAAGGTAGAAATGATGATGTACTAAGTCATAGTTATGAGATAAAAGTCAGTTGTAAAAGCTGACTCCAGTCATAATTTTGACTTTTTATCTCATGATTCAGATCAGATTTTCCTAAAGCATAATTTTTATTCCTATGTTGTGTAAATGGCCTTCCGGTCTTGGGAGTCTAGGAATTTGCACTGTGATTAGGGCCTTTCGCACCGCTTTAGTTCCAGAACTAAATGTACAGTACTAAAGTACTGGGACGATTTTGCGTGAACTATTTCCCAGTACCATTTAAAGGGTTGCATTCGCACCGACAGTGTGTACTAGGAAGTGACGTAAGCCGGTCGACAGCGACGTCATTTGTGTGCGGCGTTCAACAACAGAAACAAAGAAGAACAACATTAACAACAGGAGGATGGAGGACGCTGTGATCGGAGCTGTGTTTTTGTTGTGTCTCGTGGGTTTCACAATAATGGACATGGAATGTCGACGTATACGTAAAGCGATTGAAAGAACGGAAAGGAGGACTAAGAATCTCCAACCACAACTGGCAGTGCTACATTTGCTACAAGTGCCTGCACTTCAGCGTCCGTCCATCTATCGCTGTTCTCCATACTTGCGAAATAAGTTGACACAATGATCAATCAATGTCTACTTACGTCACGGGTAGTACCAGTTGTGCTGGTTAGACCCTGCTCCGGAGTAGGAGCTAATTTGGTTCTCGAAAAAGGCAGTCCGGTACTAAAATTGCACCCAGTTCCGGCGGCGCGAAAACGCCAAAATGTGGGTAGTTCCACAATTAGTTCTGGTGCTATGAAAAGGTTCTCGCGGTGCGAAAGGCCCTAATAAAGCGTTCAGTCTTTTGCTAAAACATGCTTTGTGTGGTTAGACATGCTGATCTCATGTTGCTCCAGGGCAAAGATGCTCTCATTTAAAAATGAATCAAGCTCTTGAAAAAAAAGCGTAAAAAGTGCACTTAAATGTACTTTTAAAAAGACATACTTTACTTCATATATACTACAGTGTGTACCTAATGTATTATTTGGGGGGGGATAATGCACTTTTATTTTATTGAAGATTTCTTAAATCAGATATTAAATGGTTGAAAACCAATAAAATATTTTAATTTCCTTCTCATTGCATTAGATTAAAATCCAATCAGCATGTTTGCGGAGTACAACAGAATGTGCTAACAGATGGCAGAGTGTAATTTACAATTATCTTCAGATTAAATTAAGATGAAGAAAATGAATCCATAACGATAAGATTATGTTATGGTCTTCATTCTCATTTTCCTGACTCATCATTTCAACTTCTCTAATGCTATATATAATCTTTACAAAGCTGCATTCCCCAAAATGGCCACGCCTAAGAATGTTTTTTTCTGCAGAAACCTGCCGTCTGGCTGCACATCAGACAGGAAAGACTTTGCCTTTCAAGAGTATTTGACTGAAATACATGATGTTTTACTATAGCAAGTACTGCAAACACACAGAGAGGGACGTTTTACTGCACCAAACACACCAACACTGATTCATACACATGTGATTCACAGTTTTTATTAAGCGTGAACTTGTTTACTTCTCAGAATACAGAATTCAAAGAATTCAGAGAGCAGAGTTATAAAATGAATGAGAAATGTTTAAGTTCTTACTGAAATGTGTGACTTTTGATTCCAGATTGACGAATCTGATAACATCTGATCTCATCTGTAGAGAAACATCTGAGAACCAAGACTACAATTTTATTTTATAACACTGAAAGTCTATTTTTACCAAACAAGGAAAAAAAAGTTGTTATTAATAAAAAAGTCAATAAGTTGACATATGATATGTCAAAATTATGAGAATAAAAGATTACAATTATCAGAAAAGGGTCAAACTTACCATACAAAGTCATAACTATCAGATAAGTCGAATTTATGAGATAAAAAGTCAATTATGACAAAATCTTAAATTATGAGATAAAAAGTCAATTATGCATTAAAAGTCAAAATTTGTAAGATAATTATGACTTTTTATATCATAATTACGACTTAATATGTTATAATTTTGACTTTTTTATCTCATAATTATGATTTGGTATTTTGTAATTTTGACTTTTTAAATCATAATTTTGACTTTTGACTAAAAGGCATAATTATAAGATAAAAGCTCAAAATTATGATATACCAAGTCATAATTATGAGATAAAACGTTGAAATGGACAAAAAACCTTAAATTATGAGATAAAAAGTCAATTATGTATTAAAAGTCAAAATTTGTAAGATAATTATGACTTTTTATATCATAATTACGACTTAATATGTTATAATTTTTACTTTTTTATCTCATAATTATGATTTGGTATTTTGTAATTTTGACTTTTTAAATCATAATTTTGACTTTTGACTAAAAGGCATAATTATAAGATAAAAGCTCAAAATTATGATATACCAAGTCATAATTATGAGATAAAACGTTGAAATGGACAAAAAACAATCATGAGATAAAAGTCAATATAAATACATACGAAGTCATAATTATGAGATAAGTTGAATTTATGAGATATTAAGTTATAGTTATGAGATATAAAGTCAGTTGTGAAAGTTACAACTTAGTATGTCATGATTTTGACTTTTTTTTAAATCTCATAATTCAGATTTCCCTATAGCATGATTTTTTATTTATGTTGTGGATATGCCCTTCCATAGTCTTCTGCTTCTATGCATAGGCTTCTATTAATGTGCGCTGTGAATGAAGCTTTCAGTCTTCTGCTTTTGTGTCAAATACTGTATGTCAAATCATGCACAAATAAATGCGGTCTGCAACCCATTGACCCAGTTGAGAACCAGTTATTTAGGACAAATGTGTGAGGTAATGAAAACAATAGAAATTAAACATATGATTGAAATTAATTTAATGAAACGTTACATGAGCAACAAAACATTTCAGTCCTTCATATTTTAAAGTCTCATTCGTTAATACAAAACTTTCACATATGCTACAATATCAGCCACACATTATTCGAAAGTGTTCCTTCCACTTTTACATCCATGAACCACCATCAAACCAAACAGAAAAGACCACATATTAAGGTCTATTTCTTTATTAATCCCTTCTCTGTTTTTATAAAGCAACCATGTGCAATACTCTTTCGCCAACGTGATCCCCTCGCTTTGTTTCTGCAGCTTGCAACTGCAACAACACCATGATGCATCACCGGACAGCCAATGGGACGAGCGTGTTGCGGTTCATGTCCTAAACTAGCATGTTAAAACGGTCCCAGCAGTATTTTTTGGGCAAATTTGCCCAGTGATCAGACAGCAGAGCGGGAAAGGGAGGAGCTAAAGGTGATAGGAGGAATAACACGTGTCACGCAATGTAGCCTCGGCCTGTCACAGGACATCACATCTGCCCCGAGCATCCATGCGAACGCTTATGAACACATACAGACTGCAATGCCACATTTAATAATGGGCAAATCATGGCGGTTGAAGGAAACAGACAATACAGACTTGTTTGGTGGCAGCTAAAATGCATTTCACCATTGGGTTTTAACCAAAATAAAGCAGGCAAGTTGAAGTGTATAAACTCTGCTCCACCAAACGGAAATGTAAAATGTAAACGGAGTTAAAGTTGTAGTGTCAGACCGGTCTGCATGCTCAAACAGAGCAATAAACTATTTAGCTGAAATAAAACAAAAGTATTTTAACATAAAACAATTGCACGCTTCATCTTTAAGGACCCAACGCTCAGTCTTTGACTTTCAAAAAGGCAACCAACAGCATCTTCCAGAACTAATCAGCAGTAACCAGCATGCAAGCAAGCAAACTGCATGACATTTCCAACTTCCTCACGGCCTTCACACGCTCAACAGACTCAAGATTTGAGTTTCTGAAACAATTCTGAGTTTAAGGAAGACTATAATAAGGTTTTGATTCACAGAACATCAAGTTGTAAGTAATCTCACTTCAGTTATCAGGTGCACAAACACGTTGCACTGCTGCTAAGTCTGTCTGATAAAAATGATAGCTCACAATGATAATATGCAGGATATTAGTGGAATGAAAGGCCAGAAACATACTTTTTGCAAGTACACAAATGCTTGGCTAACACATTATTAGCACACCGTGCTAATTTTTGCATTTCTGTGGTAATAACGAAACTCAACACTCATGTGGTGAAAGATTTTTTTTTCTTTTTAACTGTGTCATTAAACCACCACATTAACCCCTGTGCTGTGCTGAAAACCCGGTCAAAAAAGCTCATAGGCCTCATTGATCTGAGCCTATGCACCTCAGTTTTCGAGTCAAAAATCATTATTTGTTTAAAATGTTGTCAATTTTCACTCAAAAACTGAGGTGCAGGAGCTCAGATCATTGAGGCCTACGAGTAATCGGTAAAAAAAACTAAACAAAACACAGTGCTAATTGAAATAAAGCAAATCAATAAAAATATTGAATCCTAAATTTGGTAATAATAGAGCATAAGAAATTGATATGCATTTTTTGTAGGACGGTTATTTTTGACTGGGAAGCACCACACGTACAACAAGATGGCAGAAGAAAAAAAATCCCCCAAAATCATTTTTTGAGTTGTTTTGGGAAGTCAGTAAATTTTAGTCCAGTGCAATAAAATTACCTAACATTTTCAGGAAAAAGAAAAACTTCTCCAGGTTAAAATGGCCAGAATGCAACATGAGGGTTACTTGAACTTATTTAGCAACTTTCTCTTTAAAAAGAAATGTTAACGCCCCCCATAGCACCCTTTTGGAAATTCTGAGAATGCAACACAATATAAATTGCACTCAAACACAATTTAAAACACAAAGACATACCAAAAAAAATGCTTGATAGCTTGAAGCATCCGCGAGTAAATTTCTGGCCTAAATTGCTTAGCATATCAGGGGAGCGACACAGCAGACACACCTCAAGTTACTTGGTGTGCAAATGTTTAATTGATGTCTATTGAATTTGGTAAGTGGGTCAAACATAAAGCCAGCTACAGCACACTGGTAGACAAATATTGCGTGCAGATAGAGGAAGCTGTTGCCTGAGGCTGTGCCCACTTCCTGTTCAACAGCACGCTTCTGCCGACAGGAAAACCTTTCATATGGTTTCGTGTAAAACTCGACTCAGCAGGAATGAGTTGGCCAAATTTCATAACGTTCTTCTAAACCTTCTTGAGTCACGACTTGCTTTCCATTACTTGATCATGTTCAAAATATTCACAGCTTTATTTGATCATTGTGTCTTAAAAATATAACATACAGTACATTCATCTTAATCACATTATCATAAAAAAAGCATTAGAAATAACATTACAGATTGGTTTCACTAAAAATAAAAACTGCTTCAATCTCATGCAATTGCACACGAAGTCAGCATTAACATCTAAAGTGTTGGAGACCAATGAGAAGATATTTTCTTAAGTTCTAATGAAAAGAACAAGTCACTTTAACATAAGGTCCTGTGTAGTACATTTCCTAAAGTGTCTAACATCAAGTGTAGTATTGTAGAGCAGCACCTCCACTATAAGTCCCCAAGCCTCTGATGTTCTTCAATAGCATGTTTTGGGGGGAAATCTGAGCATTTCACTCTTGTGCATTGGACCTGCTTTCAATAGTTGCTTGGTACATCTCAAACACAGAGGTCCTTCCCTTTTTAAAACACATTATGGCATAGAGTGGAGCTCCAGATGCAATGTGGAGCTCAGGTTTTGAACCTACAGCAGAACTGACTGACTCTCTGATGCATGTATCAAGTCAACTATTAAAACTCAGGCCACAACCACTTCCAGATCCATTGAGAGCTAAACTAAAGCAAGAGAACCCCTAAGCGGAAGTCCCGAGGTGTGCGATCCCTAGAGGTTATAGATATAAGGTAGAGTCTGAATCTTCGACATCTGAACATCTTCAGTTTGGCTTCGTCTTTTCCGGACGCCGTCAATCCGGAGCGCATTCGCACATCTTCATGGGGCGGGTTCGCGGCGAACCTTCTCGGTCATTTGTTTGGCACTGTAATACGACAGGCTGAGGCCCATGATGGCCAGCATCATGGCGATCTGGTTGACGGCACGGTCGTGCGTTGGGGCCTGAACCTCACCTGCTACCTGCCTCTGCAAAAATAATGGAAAAAATGATTGATAACAAGGCCAACCCTCTTGCACATGCACTGACATTTTGCACACTCATCGGACTTCCTCATGAGGACCAATATTCTGCTCAGTCATGTGGGTTGAATGAAATCATTAAATATTTACTGCCAATAAAGTCACGGTCAGACAGCAGGAGAGGAACTGTTTGTATTCAAAAGCATACAAAAAAGCAAAAAGGGAGTCAATTCCAACATTTTTTTCAAAATCAGAACCAGATTATGACAGCATTTGTTATGATAAGTGAATAAAACAGTTAAACGAGTGACGCCACACACAGGTTTAAGCCAATCTCAGGAAGGTGACATTAAGACGGTTTAACAAGTCACTCTGCAATTAAAGCAAGTAGGTTTAGACGGGTCTAAGAATAGTAAAATGATAAATCTGCTTAAGATTAAAAAGATTAAAGTATACAATCATTAGGCAGGGTTTAACAATAAGGATGCCTGATGGTTTTTTTGGGACCGGTTCACAGAAATGTACCCATTTTTACGCAGTGCAAACGTAAGGTTCCGATTTCTGTGAAAAATTGTTGTAGAATTGGAAATTAAGCAAAGGTTATTCAACTGACTAACATCAATGATTTTTTTCAAACTGCAAGAATGATTTGCAATGTTCTTGGGTGTTATTTAATGAAGACGTAAGCTATACAACAAACAGTGATCAGCAGTCTGATACTGATAAAATATGCAGTATTTTGAGCTGTTGTGACGCTATGAAAAAATTGAGCGTAATGCGGCAAACAAAAAATGGCTATGAAACGATTTTCACTCATAATTTGCTAGTAAATTTCAATTTCACAATTTTTCAGTTACAAAGAAATGGCAAGTAACACATTGAATTAAATGTGAAATTTTGAGGACTGAAACATACTCAAATAGGCCTAATCAGTTTATTTACAACTTTTACAGCTGCTACCTCCCAATATTAGTCCATGTACTAAATCTACGATTCAAGAGAGATGATTTTGGATGTTTTAAATGTTAAAACTTTAAAAACAAATGTCAGTCAGAGCAAATTAAACAAGACACTTGCTTGTTTACAACCATTCCCCCCTGCTGCTTTCATGCTATTTTTATATTCCAAGTTGTGAGAATTACATCCAGCTCATGAGGAATGAATCTAAAGTGGTATTTCCCACGTGTACACAGCCTTCAGTCAGCCCTTCACAGTCATTGTTCGTATAATTAGAGTTCAGTCGCTTTTAGCCAGGAGGAATGCAGTGGGCAGCTGAGATCTGGCTTTGGGTAAAAGCCAGACCGGCATCAGTCTGATCTTTCCAATGGACAGATTTGCACGTCCCAAACTAACATTACTTTCTCCTAGCAAAAGCCATTATGCAAGTGTCACATATGCATGCATTTTAAAGGATCATATCATGCTTTATCATTTTATTTTGATACCGAATAGGTGTCGTTGACGTGTAAATGTGAGCAGTCACATTAATGTTGGGTCTCTGATGTCCGAACAAGCCATTTTCGCAGGTCATTTTGAACAAATGGCGTTTTCCACTTGGAAGGAAGTTGAGTTTGGAAAGCTACAGTATGTTTTCATAGCACAATAAAGTCTTTTATCGCAAAAGACTGAGGAAATTTCGGTTCTTCACGATATGAGCCATTTAAATAAGCAATCTGAAAACGTACACATTCACAGACTGAACCAAGTTTGAACAAATACACACCTGCAGGAGACGGAAGTATCCAGGAGTCAGTCTGCCGAGCCTGATGATCATCGCTGCTGTCTTTGTGCACGACGAGGCTGAAACGAACCTCCCAAGGGTTGTGTAATGCCAAAGAGTGAACCTGTAGACCAGAGAGGAAGAGTCGATTAAATAACCATCCAGAATGCAAATTATTGTGAAAATAATCAGTGCACCAACGAATGACTTCATTCTGTCATTCTGACTTAAAATTGTGCGTTCCATGAATGATACAACTTCAAACCTTGAAACGGCCTTCGCAAGGTTCAAAAGCAGGGTTAAAAGTAAACACAATAAGAGTTTGTTTTGCCATGAACCAAATATGGCTGATGCAAGAGAAAGGGAACACTTCTAGCCGTAGGCACAATCCTAAACAAATGTAAGTCCATTTGACTTTGGTTTCAGGGAGTCACGTCTGTGTGACAGTAATCTGTTGTCTGAAAACACATACTGTGCTAGTTTAAACCGGACCTACTCAGCCCCAAATAAGAAACATAAGTGAAATCATCCAAAGCCTGCAAGGCACCATTACTCAGAAAAGATCCATAAAACAATGATCCAAACTCATCAGACTCTTCAACAATTCTGATGACGCTGTAGACTAATAACTGCAAATTTGGTACTTTAAAAGTAGGATTACTAAAACTACCCTAACCACAATTGGTAAGCAGTAAGAAGGCAATGGTAGACACATGTTTGGGATGCATCTACCAACCTTGCTGCAATTGCACGCTTGTTCTGGAAAAGGAAAACCGACGCTGTCAAAGTTGCTCCAAGGCAAAGTCCAAAAACAGCTGGAATGGAAAAACCAGCAGGACCTTCAAAGGTTAGCTACGACGAGAGAATATGGCATTTCTAGCAGCCAAAGTTGGTCTTTAAATGCAGAGGACTGACTGCCAGCCAGACTGCGAAGAGCATGAGCGCTCAGCGAATGAAGAAGCAGCTCGAAGAGGAAGTTTTCTCTGGAGCTCCGCCCTTTTATACAACCTGATCTCTCGCGATCAGATTGGCGGATAGTCTTGCTCTCTCTCTCTTTACCATGCACAGCTGTCAGAATGCATCATGCACTCTCTGGCTTGCTTGCACACATACACACCCACTTGGCCAACCACCACAATATTATGGTATTGAAACACTATGAAACTGTCAGATATAATTTTCTCACTTAACCACAAAAATCTGGCGAAACTAGAATGAGCTAAATGAGTTACAATTTGCATTTTATATAAACATATACTTCCAAAAAGATGCATCATGTTTTCAAGCTTGTTCTCCATTATCCTGCCTCCAAATAAGGACTGAGTGACCGCATTCACTCAGCATTATGCTTCTTCATCTCAAACCACACGGCCATGCACCGTGTTTTCGTTATGCAAGTCTATTCCACTTCGCCAGTCTGAATTACCGAATGCATCACAGCAGATTTTCCAAAGAGTGATGTAACAAACGGTCATCGCATTGTGTAGGGATGACCTAATTTGGTAGGGGTCTTCAGTAAACGTCCAACTGTTTTAATTTGAAAAAATATATATATATAGCGTAAGAGCCAAGAAAATGGTGTTAGGGAAAGATAAAATATGCAACAAAGGAACAATGCATGTAAAACTTAAGAGCCCTAGTTTCTCGCAATTAAAAATAAGCTTGAAAACAAACACTTTTCGTGATTTCAGTCAGAGGAAGTAGGAAATACCAAAGCCTGTGTAGGGGGGCCTTCAAATATTGACAATGGGGGACCTTGCAGTTACAAAGTTGAGAATCATTGACCTGATTCAGAGTTGCTGTAATTGTTTTTTGTTTTTTTTTCCTTGGAGCATGGTTTGGTGAAGGGAACAAATGTTTCTTTTCAGTGAGAAAAACTTAATTTCTCATAGTTTCTAGTGTAAATTTTCATTGTTGATGGGATTAAAGATGGGGAAAGCACTGCAAAACATTAAAACTCACTTAATCAAGTAAATCAGAATGGGATAAAATAATCTGACAGACATCAAATCTTGACCATAAAGACTATTTAAACAGCCACAACTAACCCTAACAGCCATAAATTACAATCACTTCACTTTAGATTAGCCTTTAAAAATGATCAAACTTTCAGAGCCATCCTTCAACATTTTCCCAGGTTGTTTTGCAGGTGATTTTAAATCCAGTTCATAAGTGCTCAGTTAAAACGATCTGAATCCCTGAGGCCGGTCTTGTTGACACTTGCCATAAAAATCCAGCCATACCAACCCCTAACTACAGCAAAAAGAGAAAAACACATGTAAAAAAACATTAGAACCTATAAAATGTGTGGTAAAACAATGCTCTTTTAACTCTTATATAGAACAAGATCTTTTGATCTTGATTACTGTAAGTACAAGGGTGAATCTCATCCAAAACAGAGAAAAAAAATAAGAAATCATATTTTAGGGCCAATAAGATATTTTGCACCCAGATATTTTCATGTGTATTATGATAGTATTAAGAAAATCATCATTGAAAATAACATGAATAATATTACATATACATATATACGTTAATGCAAAAAAAAAGAAGAAAGAAGGTACTTCATGAATGCTAAAATAGGGCTCATTTTCTTTTTATTTTGCTTTTGGGGCAAAATGGGACTTGAATTCCTGATATTTACCCATAAAATGGGTTATTTATTTAGTTATTTTGTATTTGATGTATATGTAAAGAGAGACTGAATGAAAAATCATCAAGCTTTTTGTGTGCCAGATCTGCTCAGTAATAAGCGGATCAGAAAAAGACAAGTCCTCCACAAAATATAATGACTACTATGTGAATCTCTTAGTAAAACCCATTGGATTCCTGGATTGACCTTAATTTTGGAGAGCAATCGTAGCACATCCCCCTCTTTCAGTCTTCAACAAAGCCCCTCATTGGAAACCCCCCTCCCCCACCATCTCCACATTCTCCGCCCCCATCTTTAACTCCGCCCTTACATCTAAAAGGAGTCTGGGGGCTTCCCTCCATTCTCAGACAATGGCACCAAAGCAAACTTGAGTATCAGTGATGCTGCACATCATTACATCATTGCCCAATCGAATTAACTCCCGGCCATAAGCATCATTCCCACTCCTCCTAAAGCGTAAGCTCCGCTTACATCCCAACCACTCATGTTTGTGGCATGTGCACAGTGGTTTCTTTAACAATGCACATGGCTGCAGCAGCGACATTAAAACATTTTGCATCTCCTAACATGCTCATGATCTTGTAACACAAACAGATTCAAGAGTTTACCTATCAATCATCCACTGTGCAAAGGCAAGAGTTTAACATGACTAGATGAATGCAAATATAACCGTATGAAAGCAATTTACACATGACCATCTTACATATGCATATGAACACACAAGATCATGTGAAGCACATCCTTATTTTAGTTAATATACAAACCCTGCTAAAATAACAGCATTCAGCTTGAATTTAGCATAGAAAATGTAGGCTAGTTCTTTTTCACTTTATCAACATGCAGCAAAATGCCAAAGTATTAAGTTTCAATTATAAAATCAGAAACTCTCTACCAGACATCATAAGTTGTCAAAAGAGACATTTAAATACGAGGTGTAAAGGTGGTTTTCTGACCATTTGTGATCAGATCACTCAAAACACGTGAATATTCAGCCTCCCGCAGACATAGTCTTCACCAAACTGCTAAGGTTCACACTTCTATATTAATGACAAGAGAGGAATGAAGATACAATTAAATATGCAGGAGACGTTTGATCTATAAGCTGACACTCAATCAACTGAAATTGCCCTCGTTTGAGAACGCAATGTCCCACCCTAATGTGCCACTGATCTGCATTCAAAAAGTAATAGTTGAATTAATCAGATTAGTCATGCAAAAGTTTCTGCATAAGCACATGAAACACAAAATCTACATTCAGACCGACTTAGAAAATGAAACATGTTGCAAAAACCTGCTTTAATGCAAATGCAGTAGGAGTCAATTTCATAGAAAACAAAATGACAACATTGACCCGAAACATCTTTCAAAACAAGGCATCTTCCGGTCTTAACAAGAAATACTTGTCTTGCAACTTTTAAAGGATGATTTAGAAAGGTAATCTCTATTTATAGGAAAAATCCAAGCCAAATTCTTACCGGCGTTTACAAATGCTACTTTCAGGTTAGTTTTGTGTTGCACCACATACACAGCTGAAATGGCACGTTATCACTTGATTATTTATAAAACTTTGTAAACATTTCGTTTCAATGAGCGTCATCAGCTCAAGGAATCTGTAGGCCTTTCTAGTAATGCACTGCTGAGGAGGCATTCCCACTCTCATAGAAAGTATCATCACAAAGGATATAAAACAAGTTTTAGACCAACTGTTTGACGAATCCAGGTGTTGCTGAGCTTGAAATAAATGTTTATTTGATCCTATACTGTTGCTGAAAATCCACGCGGCCGATTTTGGTGAACATAGAGCCACCTGCTGGACAGTGAGTGAATTACAGCTTGAATCGAGCTCGCTCAACTTTTACACGGCAGCGACATCTAGCGAGAAACAAGTGTAACTACAACAACCTACATTTTAAATAGCCTTCCAGAAAACATGCATTATTATTTACTATTATGGTAATTACTATTGAAGAGCAATTTATTGCAATTTGCTTATATTAGAGAGCATCTGTAAATTGCTATGAGATGACATATGTTAAAATATATTCTAAAAGGAGAATTTTATATATATTTTTTTTTACATACTAGTAAAAAATGTATAGCCGGAATGAACTGTAAGTCACTTTGGATAAAAGCGTCTGCTAAATGCATACATTATATTCTTAAAATATTGTGAATATATTACAAAATCAATACTATACATATAAACAATCTATACCTATAAATATATCTAGATCGATCTACATATATACACACACACACAAAGATTTTTTTTTTTTTCTGGACAGTTTATTTTTTTTTATTCAAAACCATTTAAAACAAAGCATTTTAAGAGTCACTGAATATCCTTCTACGATTGCAGAACATAACTTAATAAACAAGACAAGCTCAGAACACACAGCTCTAAAGAAATCGAAGGTTCACATTGTAAATTTATTCAACATTGTTGCCTTATTTACCTTTTTTTTCTCTAGTGACAATTTCATTGTAACTTCCTTTAAAAAACTAAAAATGAAAACACAGTATTTGTACGTTTAAATGCTAACAACATGGTGAAAACCCTTCCGAAAACATTTGACAAACACTCTTAAGCTGCCTTTTGAGAATGTTTGGTGATTAAAATCCAAAGATAAACCAAGAAAGACAGATAAAGCAACATCTTTTAACAATATTCTTGCGTTTTGCCAACAGATTTTGGCAAGATATAGACAGCTTGATTAAAAAAAAATGGGATACAAATGGATATGAATGAAATATAGTAACTCCTGTCAAATCAATCAGTACATAAAAAGCAAGTCAACAAGTCAACTATAAATGTTATTCTTAATATAAAACTTGGTAAAAAATAGTTATTTCAAACTGTACAGTCACCAAGTACATAGAAGGATTATAGACAGCTTGATTAAAAAAATGGGATACAAATGGATATGAATGAAATATAGTAACTCCTGTCAAATCAATCAGCACATAAAAAGCAAGTCAACAAGTCAACTATAAATGTTATTCTTAATATAAAACTTGGTAAAAAATAGTTATTTCAAACTGTACAGTCACCAAGTACATAGAAGGATCAGACACTCGTTAGCTTCTCATTTGGCATCGCCAGCAGCGTCAACCTTCTGTGCCTAGAAGAAAGTGATGAAGAAAGAAAAAAAAGTCAGTTCCAAAGTGATTTGGTTGAGCAATTACCAAACTTTACACGCTTCACTAATTAGTTGCTTTGCTAGAGCAGATATAGTGAACGAAAAGCAGATGTATGCATTTATTTATAACTCTTTTAAGCACTTTTCAGACCGACCTGGTCTGCCTTGGCGTCTCCATTTTCAGCAGGGTTGCTGCCCTTCTTCCCCTTGGCTGCCTTCTGTGTGACCAATGACAATAAATATGATTTCAGAAATAATAACAGACACCACAACCTTAACGGTTTGATGGTTAACAAGTGGGCAAGGCCTTGTCATCAGTGGAACAAAATTCAGCGGCTCAATGGTTATGTAATACTATTGCAAAGCTGTACATCCTTACCTTGGGGGCGGCTTTTTTGGCCTTTGGTTCTGGTTTAGGAGGAGCTGGTTTCTGTAAATCAATTCAGAGATGAATTAGACTAAGAAACTTTAGCATTAATAATTATTTATTTATTAAATAGATCCTAAAGATGATACTTACAGCAGACAACCTTGCGGAGCGTCTTGTTGGCTGCAAAAAAAACATAATACTGAATTAATACCAATCAATGATGTAACCAAATAATCAAGACTGAGTAACCAATATAACATTTATATTATATTTCACTGAAAAAAGAAAAAGTTAATTGGCTATTATAGTGAATATGGCCGATGCAAATTAATGTAAGCATAAAAAAAAAAGGTCAGGTTATTATTCATCAAGCACAAGCGGTTTACATTTAGAATAAAATAAGAAATGCACGTAAAATGTTCTTATGTCAATTTAACACTTTTTTTTTTTAAATAAGTGATTTACACAGAAATATGTTCTGCTTTAGCTTCATAAGGCTTGCAGTCTGATATAAGCAAAAAATACTATATAAGACAATAAAATATAAAAATACAGTCATATAAATATTAAAAAAATATACATAAATGGACCAACCTCCTCCTTGCCTTTGGCAGCCTTCTCACCATCAATCTGTAAAAAAACAAAATAAAACACGAAAACGTTTTAGAAATCGTAAAAAAAAAAAATATATATATATATATATATAAAACACATTGGTCGAAAAATAAATAAATAAAATGGAACGTTCGCTGTAACAGTTGCGCGCGTTTACGTCATAGACGATAAGCCGCAGGTTTTCATAACGGATGACTTTGTTTCTTCCCGCGCATATTCAAATTCAAATCCCGGCTGTCAGTGCGCGCGGGCAAAGACGGCTTCCTTTTGTTTGCCTGCATCACTACGCGCCTTTTAAACGACTGAGGGCCGATTCTCCTTTTGTTTTCCCTCACGAAACCACTGTAAATCGCACAAAAGGACGTTTGAACGGTGAAATAAGATGTAAAAAAATAACATTTACACACGATCCTAACGCAGATAGCTAGGAAAGCACCGTCTTTAGAAGACAGGTGCTGTAAAGATGGCAGCTTGATGTTTAGAGTAACGTTAGGCGTAATGCACATCAACAATGACAGGAGCAGCTTAAGCGACACGATAAAACAATATAGCACAAATTATAGTTAATACAATTGACGTTAAGACCGAAAATACACACGCGTGCAATCTTATATCAAGCCAAATGATTAACTGCGAGCTCTTTTTCATGTGAACTTCCAACACAATCACTCATCTGCAGTGTTGAAATGATAATATCGTATTAACTTTGAAGGCTCATGTTTATATTAGCAACGGTTAACCGCAGGAGTTGAACAAGCATCGTAAAACACTCAAGTTCCCTCCTTTTACATCATCTAGCGATCAGGCGGGTCTTACAGGATGTTACGGATTTGTTTTGATCGAATTATCGAAATATTAATGCCCATTTACAGGTTACACTATTTGTCGTTTTTAACATTTATTTTCGGTTAAAAGTCGTTTTTTTTCCCCTCAGGTTTTCGTCAGAGCGCGGTAAGATTGACAGTCCGCCTGACAGTGAATATGTAAAACTCGACTGTCCGCCATTATAAAACAACCACACGATCACTGAGGCGATAACGGCAACAAAACAATGTAAAAAAACACAAGCACATATGTACAAAAACCAAAATTCGTGATTTTTTTCAGAAATATAAAAATCGCAGTGCATCCTTACCTTTCTTTTGGGCATCTTGACTGCAGAAAACCCCCGAAAAAATGCCAAAAAATCTAAATATTTGTGTAAATATTGTTCTCCTGAGCAACGACACCCTGCACGCCTCACAGCGTCTCGCGTAAACTACAATAACGGCTGTATGTGTTTTATTAAGTTTTTATATTGAAATTTAAGATAGAAACCGGTTTAAACCAGATTTTGCATATTCCGTGCAGCGATTGGCTGCGAGAGCGATCACGTATCGGTGGGCGTCGCTTATCTCTTAAAGCAACAGTGACCGAATTCCCCGCTCAGGTTTCAGAGCTCAGACGGAAGCGGCTGCTTGTCTTAGCGCCTCTGCTGGCCACAGTGGAATTACACCGGCAATTTAACACAAATAATAAAAAACTATTACAATACAGACAAAAACGTGGTAGACATCGGTTAAGACACACATACGCATTATTTACATAATTGTACAGGTGTGTGTGTGTACTGTATACACCTTTTTAAGAACAAGTACATTTACGGAACAAAACTGAATAGAACGTACACAATATAGCGTATCAAAATGTAAATATCTTGTATTAGCAACGCTTCAAAGTCTGAAAATACAACTTTCAACAGATCTCCATTGCTGCTCCCAAACACTATAATATGGAAATACCTTTTACTGTAACTTACCCTTTGATCACACTGCAAAAAAAGTCATGTTCTTCAGCAGTATTTGTCTTGTTTTCTAGTGCAAATGTCTAAAGATTATTGTATTTACTTGAGAAGAAAAATGACATGTGTTGTTTCATGAGGAATAGATCAAAATGAAGTGAGTTTATGATTAAAACATGAACAAATCTCTGCAAACAGGAAGACAAGTTTTCATTCTTCATTGACAGGTGTCTTTTTTCTAAGCATAAATTAACTTTTGTTCAATTTCTCAGAAAAGGTATTAGATATTTTTAAAAGGAAAAAAGGCAAAAACACTCAGGAAGATTTTATTTATTTTGCTGTACATTTAATGCCATGACTGAATTTAAGACTTTCTGCTCTGATTTAAGACCTTTTTAGGCCTTAATTTGTGAAAGGCTGAACTAATACCCTTTTAAGAGCCACAGAAGCTATACACACACACACACACACACACATATATATATATATAAATATAATCCAACTTGTAAAATATTTTAGACAACAGATGAACAAATTTATTTATATTTGTCAAAACTAATTTCAAGCAGAGGTCTTTAGGTAAAAAGGTTTTAAGATAATGAAAAAATTAATAAAAAAAAATTTACTGCAATTTACCTTTACGATATATGTATTCTGCTCTGATTTAAGACCTTTTTAGGCCTTAATTTGTGAAAGGCTGAACTAATACCCTTTTAAGAGCCACAGAAGCTATACACACACACACACACACACACATATATATATATATAAATATAATCCAACTTGTAAAATATTTTAGACAACAGATGAACAAATTTATTTATATTTGTCAAAACTAATTTCAAGCAGAGGTCTTTAGGTAAAAAGGTTTTAAGATAATGAAAAAATTAATAAAAAAAAATTTACTGCAATTTACCTTTACGATATATGTAGTCAGTTAAAAAATTCTAGACTGAATATGCAATTTATTTATTGTTTTACTCTGCCCTAAAAATTTCCTCTTGCACGGAGTAAAACTTGCTCACAGGCCAGTAATATTTGATTTGTGAATTGACTGTTTGTGAGGCTTCAATTAATTGGTCAAATCAGTCCACAAATCTGAGATTGATTGATTTATTGATTTTTCATCCTGAAAAATAAAATGACTGAAATTCAAGTGAGATCAGTCATATTTAACCTATTGTATTTCCTAGCATTTCTAGTCCAAAAAAAAAAAAAAGAGCCCATGGGGTCAATCAATCAAACTGAATTTATTTGAAGATTTAAGATCATTTCTATTTCAATATCAAGCATACATATCCACTGCCCCATAAAACGGGGTAAAACATCCTTCCAGATTTGAAGTATTTACAGATCAGTAAATAAAAAAAGTTCAAAGCTAAGCCACAACAGCCTGGCTGCTTAAATCACTGAAGAAAGTGTCTCTCTTGTGCTGAAGGGTGTTGAGAAAGCAGTGAACCCTCTCCTCTCGGCTGGCGATGTAGTTCAACAGATCTTTCTGTCGACTCTGGGCATCCATGGGCTCTCCATTCCCACAATGCTGCAGGAGCTCAGCCACACAGGAGCGATCCGCTTCCATCTGCTGGAGCGCTTGGCCTTCTCTGTGCAGATCTCCAGCTTTCTGCAACACACAAAATATGAATACAACGGCACTTGTGAACGGAATAAAGAATAAAGTTTGCTTTTGCATCTTTACTAAACTTTAAATAAAGTTTGGAACTTCCTAAAAGTTGCTTTCAGGAAACCATTTAAGGAAACAATCGTAGTAACGTTTACAAAAACGTGCATTAATCAACAACATTGTATTAGACATGCTGTAATACAATATCCTGTGTGTTCAAGCTGAAATGATCTGAATTAGCATGTTGCCTTTTTTATAATAAGGTCATGCTAATCTAAGAAGCATATATGACCATGAATGGTCCAAAACAATTTACAAAATCAATGAGTCTCATTCACTAATGAAATATTTTGTATATATATATATGAACAGAAGAACTTCTCACGAAAAATGTCTGCCCATGTTATTAACTTTGTTCTAATGTTAATACATTTAGCATATTCTAAATATAAATGCTTTTAAAATTGATAATAATAATAAAAAAATGTTTCTTGAGCAGCAAATCAGCATATTAGAATGATTTCTGAAGATCATGTGACTCATGTGACGAGAAATGATGCTGAAAATACAGCTGCGCATCACAGGAATAAATTACATTTTAAAATATATTCACATAGAAAATTGTTATTTAAATTATAATAATATTTCACAATATTACTGATTTTACTGTTTTTTGTATTAAATACATTCAGCCCCTAAATGAGCAAAAACTTTTGTAAGATTTAGTTGAGAGTGAGACCCAATGTTTCCAGGTAATAAAAAATGCAGCAGCTACCTAAATAAGTTGTAAATCACTATAAAAACAGGATGACAAAAGAGTTATGGCTTACCTGGAGAGATCGATAACTCAGCTGGTACTGTAAAACAGCTTCACATAGATTCCAGAATGAATATTCCGGCCACAGGACCGACTGGAACACTAGACAGGAATATGAGGTCTGTGGAGTATAAGATATGCAGGAATATGAAAAACATTCATCATTTCAAAGCTGCAGGGGAATGTAAATATTAAGAGCAATATGAGCTTAATGCACAATGGACAAGTCAGATAGATATCCATAGGACCGGTGCCAGACTTTCAGCTGCCATTAGTGTTGATTTGATGGGAAATCTCATTGGAAAAGGCAGTGATGGGAATTATTACAGCTCTTAAAGCAATAGTTCACCCAAAAATGAAAATTTGCTAAAAAAAAAAAAAATTTACTCACCCTCAGGCCATCCAAGACATAGATGGGTTAGATTTGGAGAAACGTAGCATTGCATCACTTGCTCATCAATGGATGCTCTGCAGTGAATGGGTGCCGTCAGAATGAGAGTCCAAACAGCTGATAAAAACATCACAATAATCCACAAGTAATCCACACCACTCCAGTCCATCAGTTAACATCCTGGGAAGTGAAAAGCTACGCGTTTATAAGAAACAAATCGCTCATTAAGGTGTTTAATCTATTGTTTCTAGCCAAACTATGAGTCCTTTAAACATAATAACACTTCCTCCAGTGAAAAAGTCCATCTCCTGTTGTCTCTCACATCAAAATCCACACACATATTTGTTTAGAGCTGTTTTGGCTTGTAAACGGTGTTTGATCTGTGCAGATTTCTCTCCTGATTCAGACTAAATGACTTTTTCTCTGGAGGAAGTGTTATTATGGATAGAGGAATCGTATTATAGCTGGATACTGGAAGTTTAAAGTTAAAAATGTCTTGATGGAATTGTTTCTTATAAACATGCAGTTTTTCTCTTCACAAGTCATTAACTGATGGACTGGAGTGGTGTGGATTACTTGTGGATTATTGTGATGTTTTTATCAGCTGTTTGGACTCTCATTCTGACGGCACCCATTCACTGCAGAGGATCCGTTGCTGAGCAAGTGATGCAATGCTACATTTCTCCAAATCTGATGAAGAAACAAACTCATTTTCATCAATTTTCATTTTTGGGTGAACCATTCCTTTATTGGCCCGACTTTATCATATTCATTGAGAAAGACTCACTGTAATTATATATAATTACAGATTGTTCCAAAGTGAATCAAACTATGAATGCCATCTAAACTAAAGTCCTCTATGTTTGTGTAAGTGCTGTATTTGTATGGCAAGATATTGACTAAAGGAAGTCTCAGTTACCTGCCACAGTAGGAAATCACTAAGACGCACTTCTCCAGACGTACGGATGAGCAGATCGGGGTTTGGAGAATTACTGCTATAGAGACACTCACTGAGGAGCACCTCAGACACATCACTGACACATCACACAGAGAAGAACAATTCATAATAAAACAGCTGTAGTTATGAGCAAATCCTTTGTTTTCTCGCACTATGTGAAAAGCACATAGTTTACCTGGATTTTATCAGGCCCTGCTCTACTCCCCATGCCATTTCCTTCACTGCATTTGCAATTTCATATCTTGAGGTATATGCAAAGCACACATTCAGAAAACACCTACATAATCAAACAGAAAACCGGTCAACAACATAAGAGAAGGATGAACTTCAGCAAATGCATCAGATATAGCTCATGCTCTAAAACAGAAGGAATGTTTTTTTTTTTAAATCATAAACTGCATTTCAAACATTTGGGGTCAGTCTTTTTTTTTTTTTTTTGAAAGACATTAATAG